GTTGCTTCAGATTAGAAATTGTCATTCTTTTTTATAGCTGAGTAGTATGCCAAGTTCAGAGAAGGCAATGGCACCCTACTCCAGTATTCTTGCCTGGAGAATCCCATAAACGGAGGAGCCTGGTGGGTTGCAGACCATGGGGTCGCTAAGAGTTGGACACGACCGAGCGACTTCACTTTCACTTTAAACTTTCATGCATGGGAGAAGGAAATGGCAGCCCACTCCAGTGTTTTTGCCTGGAGAATCCCAGGGACGGGGGAGCCTGTTGGGCTGCCGTCTATGGGGTCGCACAGAGTCGGACACTACTGAAGTGACTTAGCAGCAGCAGCAGCTGTATACCAAAGTACACATAGATATAGTTATTGATATAGTGAAGGACAGGGAGGCCTGGTGTGCTGCAGTCCATAGGGTTGCAAAGAGTCAGACATGACTTAGTGGATGAACAACAACTATAGATAGATAGATAGATAGATAGATAGATAGATAGATAGATAGATAGATATAGGGCTTCCTTGGTAGCTAAGCTGGTAAAGTATCTGCAATGCAGGAAACCACTGTTTGTTTCTTGGGTTGGGAAGATCCCCCAGAGAAGGCATAGGCTACCCACTCCAGACATTCCAGTATACTTGGGCAACAGTAATATATATATATAGCACACACACACACAAATATGTATATCTTTCCAGATTGCACTAGTAGTAAAGATTCTGCCTGCAAAGCAGGAAGGAGCTGCAAGAGACCTTGGCTTGATCCTTGGGTCAGGAAGATCCCCTGGAAGAGGACATGGCAACGTACTCCAGTATTCTTCCTGGAGAATCCCATAGACAGAGGGGCCTGGTAGGCTACTGTCCATGGGGTCACAAAGAATTGGACATGACTAAAGTGACTTAGCATAGCACAGCACACACACACACACACACACACACACACATCTTTTTTATGCATTTATCTGTTGAAGCACACTTGGGTATGCAGCATCTTCTTAATTCATTTTCTGTTGATGGACCCTTGGATTGTTTCCATATCTTAGCTATTGTGAATAATGCTGCTGTGAACATTGGGGTGCATGTATCTTCTTGAATTAGTGTCTTCCTTTTATTTCTCCCAGATGTATACCTGGGGGTGGATTTGCTGGATCATATAGTAGTTCTGTTTTTTAGTGTTTCAGACACCTCCATACTGTTTTCCACTGTGACTTCACACATTTACATTCCCTCCAACAGGGTACATGGATTCCTTTTCTCCACATCTTTGCCAACATTTGTAATTTGTGTTCTTTTTGGTGATAGTCATTTTGGGAGGTGTGAAGCGATATTTCATCACTGTGGTTTATGATTTGCATTTCCCCTATGATAGCCGTATGAAGCATCTTTTCATGTTCTTGTTGACCATTTGCATTTCCTCTTTGGAAAATTGTCTACTCAGTTCTTCTGTCCATTTTTAAAATTCAGTTTTTTTTTGATGCTGTGTTGTATGAGTTGTTTATATATATTAGATATTAATTCCTTTTTTATCATAGCATTTCAAATGTTTTCTCCCATTCAGGGTGTTGTCTTTTAATTTTATTGATGGTTTCTTTTGCTGTGCAAAAGTATATTTGTTTATCTTTGCTTTTGTTTCTTTGACTTTAGGAGACAAATCCAAAAAACTATTGCTGTGATTTATGTCAGAGTGTTCTGACTATGTTTTCCCCTGGGAATTCTATAGTATCCAGTCTTATATTTATAAATTTTGTATTTCTAAAGTACACATTTAGTGCTATGTATAGTGAGAAGGCAATGGCACCCCACTCCAGTACTCTTGCCTGGAAAATCCCATGGACGGAGGAGCCTAGTAGGCTACAGTCCATGGGGTCGCTAAGAGTCGGACACGACTGAGCGACTTCACTTTCACTTTTCACTTTCGTGCATTGGAGAAGGAAATGGCAACCCACTCCAGTGTTCTTGCCTGGAGAATCCCAGGGACGGGGGAGCCTGTTGGGCTGCCATCTATGGGGTTGCACAGAGTCGGACACGACTGAAGTGACTTAGCAGCAGCAGCAGCAGCATAGTGCTATGTATATCTCTCCAACTATGACTTTAGTGGCATTTCAAAGATTTTGATATGTTGTATTTTAAATTTTTTGGTTAAAAATAAATTCTTTTTTCCACTTTGATTTCTTCTTCTCATGAATTAAGAGTGTATTGTTTAGTTTTCATATATTTTGTTATTTTTTCAGATATCACTTTGTTATTGGTATTAATTTAATTTCATTGTGATCAGAGAACATACTTTGTACAGTCTGAATTCTTTTAATTATATGGGACTCATTTTATGGCCTAGAATATGGTTAATTGTCATAAATGTTCAGTGTACACTTGAAATGATGTGTATTCTGTTGTTGTTTTTGGCTTTGAAACTATGTTTTCTGGGTATTAATATAACCACTCAATTTTTCTTTTGATTAGGGTTGATATAGAATATATTTCCATTTCTATACTTATAGCCTATTTGTGTTTACATTTGAAGTGTATTTCATGTAAGCAACATTTAATTGGGTCTTCCTTTTTGTAATCCAATCTGATAAACTCTGAATTTTAATTGGATGCTTGGTCTGCTTATTTATAATTAATGTGACTATGGCTATGGTTGCACTTTTTTGTTTGGTTGGGCTTAAATCTATCATTTTCAATTTGTTCTCTGCTCCTTCTTCCCAACTGAACATTCAAAAAGGTTTATTCTATCTTTTTTGTGTCCAAGTGAGTTAATACAGTTTCATTTTGGGGGTTAGTTTAGAGATTATCCTACCCATTTCTTTTTTTATTTTTCATTTATTTTTATTAGTTGGAGGATAATTACTTTTCAATATTGTAGTGAGTTTCGTCATACATTGACATGAATTAGTCACGGAGGTACATCCTACCCATTTCTAACTAATGGCAGTTTGCCTTCAGGTGATAGTATATCATTTTGAATGTAACAGAAGAAACTTACAATAATATGCTTTCATTTCTCCCTTTCTTATTTGCACTATTACTTGTATACATTTTTGCTTCCATGTCCTGGCTATTATAAACAGTGCTGCAATGAACATTGGGGGGGCACGTGTCTCACTCAGATCTGGTTTCCTCGGTGTGTATGCCCAGAAGTGGGATTGCTGGGTCATATGGCAGTTCTATTTCCAGTTTTTTAAGAAATCTCCACACTGTTCTTCATAGCGGCTGTACTAGTTTGCATTCCCACCAACAGTGTAAGAGGGTTCCCTTTTCTCCACACCCTCTCCAGCATTTATTGTTTGTAGACTTCTGGGTAGCAGCCCTTCTGACCGGTGTGAGATGGTACCTGATTGTGGTTTTGATTTGCATTTCTCTGATAATGAGTGATGTTGAGCATCTTTTCATGTGTTTGTTAGCCATCTGTATGTCTTCTTTGGAGAAATGTCTGTTTAGTTCTTTGGCCCATTTTTTGATTGGATCATTTTTTTTTCTGGTATTGAGCTGCAGGAGTTGCTTGTATATTTTTGAGGTTAGTTAAGGAATGTTCTTTTACAAAATAAACTTTGGTGAATGTAGACTCATAAAACAAATAAATTGGCAAAATTTGTGGTCACTAGATAGTAATAAACGCTATGCAGAACAGTGATAACTTCTAAACAGAAAGGGATTAGAAAATTGTTTATGTTTGGGGGGAATTTTGTTGGATACTGTTTTAAATATTGTGGTCAAGGAGACTGAATGGACCAGAGGGAAAGACCTATTGGACAGAGCAACAAAAAGTAAGAAATCCCAAAGGCGGGATGTAGTTTATGTTTTTAAGAAAGTGCTTGGGAGGCAATTTAGATGGTGTGGATTAAAAGAGGAGTTAGGGAGGTGAATGAATTCCATCTAGAGGGATAAATGTCTCTTTCTTCTGGGTTATCAAAGTGACTTAATCATGTGTTTCAATCAAACTGTTGTGACATTGCAGTACAATTAACTTTACATATTTTTGTGTTTTTCAGTAGGTCATGTGCTTTCAAAAAACAGGCTGATTTTTTTTAGTTAGTTTTCTAGTTTCTAATACTATGTTGAATATAAAATAACTTTTATAAATATTTTTGAATGCCTAAGGAAAAATGTTAAAATGTAACAGCTATTTTAAACACTTGTAAACAGTTGCTTTTTAATCTTATATTTACTCTTCCAAAGTCAAAGCACAGTCTTTAAAAGCTATTTTGCTTTGGCCACACATTTTTTTAAAATCTTATTTTATTTATTTATTTTTTAAAATTTTTATTAGTTGGAGGCTAATTACTTTACAATATTGTGTGGGTTTTGCCATACATTGACATGAATGAGCCGTGGATTTACATGTATTCCCCATCCTGAACCCCCATTCCACCTCCCTCCCCATCCCATCCCTCTGGGTCATCGCAGTGCACCAGCCCTGAGCATTTTTCTCCTGTATACAACCTGGACTGGCGATCTGTTTCACACTTGATAATATACATGTTTCGATGCTATTCTCTCAGATCATCCCACCCTCGCCTTCTCCCATAGAGTCCAAAAGTCTGTTCTATACATCTGTGTCTCTTTTTCTGTCTTGCATATAGAGTTATCGTTACCATTTTTCTAAATTCCATATATATGCATTAGTATAGTGTATTGGTGTTAATCTTGCTGGCTTACTTCACTCTGTATAATGTGGCCACACATTTTTAAGTGAGCATAGATTTTTTTCATCTCCACTAGTTCTACTTGGGAGATAATTAGAAGCAGACAATTAGGTCTGATGCTTGACTCATCAAAATTCATGACCCCTGGTCTGGCTAGCATGATGAAAGATTATACATCTTTATCCTTTGTCTCTGCCAGGATACCATGGAATAATAAGAACTAGGATGTGACTCTGTAAGAGGAAACTGCATAGCTCATATCATTAGACAAGAACAGGAAGAAGATTAGAACTGTATTTCTACATCCCAATCCTTGCTTTTCAGTTGTGATTTTGAGTGTTCTTCATGGAGAGCAGCAAGAACACAATTACTTTCTGCTGTCACTACCCTTTCTCAATAATTTCCGAATCCCCTGCTTTATTTCCTGAGTTCGAACACCATAGACAATGGGGTTGAGAGTTGGAGGAATGACATGGTGGAGGACATTAAGTAAGACAGGACTATCAGGTGAAACCTTTTTCTTGGCCAAATGGGTAAAAACAAAAACCAGCAGGATGGTGCTGAAGAAGAGGATAAGGATAAAGTGAGAGCCACAGGTGCTCAGAGCTTTAGCAGCTGCCCCTTTTGTATGGAGTCGAAGGACAGCTCGGAGGATGAAGATATAGGAGAGGAAGATGAGGATGAGGTCAGAGCCCAGCAGAGTCCAGGCTAAAATTAATTGGTAGATTTTGTTAAGGGTGATGCTACCACAAGAGAGCTTGGACACGGAGAGGTTGGCACAGATACAGTTTTCAATTATATTTTTTCCACAATAATGGAGCCGGGCAGAGAGGATGGGAATAGGTGCAGTAAGAAATGTGTTTCGGGCCAAGATGAAGACAAGAGCTCTTGCCATAAATTGGTCCGTGATGATAGATGGGTAGTGCAGAGGCTTGCAGATGGCCACATAGCGGTCATAGGCCATGACTAAGAAGGTGCATGATTCCATGGGCAGGAAGCTATTCATGATGAACATTTGGAGGAAGCAGGCAGAGAAGCTGATGGGCCTGAGGTCAAACTAGAAGATGGCCAGGACCTTGGGGATGACGGTGAGGCAGAGCGCCATGTCCAGCAGGGAGAGCAGGCTGAGCAGGTAGTACATGGGCTCGTGCAGAGAGGCCTCCAGCCGGATGGTGATCAGGAGGGTGGCGTTGGCCCCCATGGCCAGGAGCAAGAGGAGACTGAGGGGCAGGGACAGCCAGTGCTGTCAGCTGGGGGACCTGACAAAACAGTTCAGGAGGAACTCAGAGACTTCAGTAGAGAGGGAGCTGTTGCTATAAGGCAGCATTGGCAGTGATTTCAGGGAGGAAGATGTCTTTAGGGAGCTGGAGATGAGAGAAGGTATTAATTCTACCACAGACTCTCACGAGGGTGGATTTAGCCTATAAGATCCTTGAAGATATGGACACAAGCCACCTCTTCCACTCTCATTCCTTCTGTCTAGCACATTTTTGACACACAGAAGTGGCTAATAAATTTTCATTGAATATATAAATAAATGTTTCCTATGGTTCTTTCATCTATGTGTCATCTTCCATTGTCTCTTGTGTGAATGTTGGAGGGCACTCACAGAAGTCTGTTTGTTCTGTTGATGTTTAATAGTTCAGAAATTAGTTAAGTATCAAAGAAAATCAAAGGCTGAGAAAACATTATAGTTTAAAATTTAAATGTGTATAAAGGCATTCTAAAGTGTAGATGGCATCCACATCAAGTTTTTAAGGGCGTAAAAGATGAGAGTATGCAGAGGTATGATGGACTGAGTACATAGCGCAATTCCCTGATAAAAATTAATAAAAACATTTTTAATATTATGTCTAAGTCAAATCTCTATCAATGCCCATCATCCATCCCATATCCTTACCAATACATATACCCATAAATACCTGTGTCCATATGTGTATTTAAATGCCTTGAATGGATCCTGGAACAGACAGAAAATAAACATTTGTCAGATTAAGGACCAAGTGAAATTCAGACATTGAAATAAAACATCATTGTTGGCTTTCAACTGGAGGACACTGGTGGCATTTCATGAAGATCAGAACCAATTTTCTTACTTAATGGAGCTCAGGGACAGAAGATAAAATCCAGGTTCAAGCAGGGTGGGAATCTATTATGTGATCTCCCATATGGTAGGACTTTACAACACTACATCCTGCATGGTGTTATGCACTAGAAATTAATCCCCACCTTCATCTCCATTCCTCATCTGCACTGGGAAATTCTAAGGAAATAAACTACTTCAAATATTATTACTTGGGAAAAATTTTCCATAAATTCTGATGTACAAGCTGGTCCTATGTGACTTTGCATCCTGAATTCACACCAGCTCTTTGGCTGGAAAGATATTTAAAGTTATTCTGCATTATGGGCAGTCGAGTCAGAAAACAACAGGATCAAATTCAAATCCATTTTGAGGAACAAATTTTTATCTCAGGCCTCAAAGAATTTCAATATAGATGTCTGAAGAAATTCTTTGCAGTAAAAATATTAACTTGAAAAGAAAAAAATAGGATAAAAGCCCAGAAACAATAGATCATAGATTCGACCTACAAAATCTTGAGATATTCATTATTTGATGTGAATATTGAAACATTTTTCCCAATGACTTTTTAAAAAAAGAAATGAGAGATAATCTTGAAAATATAAACTAAAATAATATTTAAAAGAAGAATCAGTTATACCTCCTAGAAATAAAAATATAATAATTAAAATAAAAAATTTAAGAGATAAGCTTAATAGCAACAAGCCACAATTTGAAGCATAATTAGTGACCCAGAAGATGAGGCTTCCCTTGTAGCTCAGTTGGTAAAGAATCTGCCTGCAATGCAGGAATCTGCCTTCTATGCAGCAGATGTGGGTTCGATTCCTGGGTCTGGAAGATCTGCTGGAGAAGGAAATGGCAACCCACTTCAGGATTCTTGAATAGAAAATCCCATGGACAGTGGAACCTTGTGGGCTACAGTCCATGGGGTTGCAAGAGTCAGACACGATTTAACAACTAAACCACAGAAGATAGAGCTGGATAAACTTTTTAAAGTGAAGCTTCAGTGATACATAGAGAATGCAAAAGTGTAGTTAAAAGTAAGGACATGGGATTCTGATAGATGTAGTCAGTTTATGTTTATTGTCTTACTCCAATCAAGAAGATCAAATCTGGGAACTTCCCTGGCTGTCCAGTGGTTAAGAATCTGCCTTTCAATGCAAGGGATGCAGGTTCAATCCCTGGTTGGGGAACTAAAATCACACAAACTTGTTGTGCGGCAACTAACTTTGCGGACTGCAACTCTGGGGCCCATGCTCCACAACAGGAGAAGTCCCCAAGAGCTGCAATGAAGACACAGTGCAGCCAAAATTAAAAAAGAAGAAGAAGAAGATCAAATCTAGGGTTAATATTTTGTTCAGAGGTATAAAAAGTAACAAAGCTTATTTGAAAAATAATCAGACATATTTGAGAAACATAATATCAAAAATAAGAACTCAATTAATGCCTTTAGCACTAGATTAGAGACTGGTAAGGAGAGTCAGCAAATTGTCAGAAGGGAATCAGAAGAATCAATTAGACTGAAGATGAAGAGAAAATAAAAACAGACGGAAAATGCTGAAGAAAGTGTAACAGGAATTGAGGCTAGAGTAAGAAGGTCTAACAAATAAAATCCAAGTTCCAGATTGAAGAAAAGAGAGAAAGGGGTAGAGGCCTTGAGCCTCTCAAAAATGATGAAATATATCAATAACCAGAGCCAAGAGGTCCACTAAATCAAATGGGATTAAAAAAAAAAAGTACATCTAGATATATCAAGATATAACTAAAGATAGACACCTAGATGACATGGTCTAACTTCTAACACCAGAGAAGAAAGGATGATCATAATGGTGAGTATGACTATTTTAATCAGAAGAACTCATGAGTGCCAGGCCTCTAGAACTAGAAGTCCATCTTCCGAGTTGCACATTAACTCGAAGCTTCTTAGCCTATATTTTGAAGAGTATCTCTTCCCTACAGTGCCCTCATGCCTCTCCTCCTTAACTCTCTGTATTCATATCATTCATCCCTGTTTTCCCCAATTGTTAGGTTACATTGCATAGCTTAATAAGACTTCACTGCTTATTTTGTTGTTCCAACAAGCCTGTAGACAGCTTCCTTACAGCAACAGCTGTGATCCCTTAGGCCATTACACCAGGGATGCTTCTTAATGATTTGCTCCGTAAGATTATTGTTCTTGGTCTAGAGAGCCGCACCTGTGGCTCTGACCTGTGCAGAGACTTTTATCAATATTATTTTGGGGTACTAAATTAAAGTATAAAGTATAGGAATTTTCATTAATATTAAAAAAATATTGAGTCTGTTGCCACATTTTTTTTTTTTCAAAGGGACCTGAGTGAAGCAAGAAAGAGGGATAAGGAGTAATAAGTAATAATAATGAGAGTGAGAAGAGCATTGAGTGGAAATGGTACTCTAAGCTTGCTTTCCCTGGGGATCTATGTAGGTCTGGAGAAAGCTGTGCATGGTGAAGTGACTCTAATACAAATGAATGGAAGAGAGAGAGAGAGTAGAAGTGAGGGAGAACAGAAGCATTATGTGCCCAAGAATATGGATGGTGGAGAGAAGCTGCAGAAAGAGAATTCTAAAATTACAACAAAATAGGTTGGATTGAGAAGAAAGAAGACAAAGGGAGTCAGAGAAATAAAGGAGAGAGCAGAAATGGATCAGGTACTTTTATGAAATGAGAAAGGCAGTAAAAGGCAAACTAGTTAAGATTCCTAAGTAATGATAATCAAGGGAGTGTGATAGGAAATGTTTTTTCCCTTTCAAATCTGCATTCTCCCTCATGTTCTCAGAAGAGTTCAACCAAGGATTGTCAAGCTCTCTCCAACATGATACTCTGGTGCAAATTTATGAACTCCCACAAGGACCAAACCTCTCCCCAGCACACACAGACTCTAGGCTCAGCTTTGGCATCATCATCTTCATCTGGCTCAATGCCACTTCTCTTTCTCAGGTCCCTTCAAGTCCTGTCCCCACACTCCTTTCCTAAAACTTACAGTTCTTCCAACTGTAAACCCAGTTTTATTTCCAGTGCAGTCCCTGCTTTTGTGAGGGATCCCCTATCACAGTGGCAACTTGGTGCCTTCATTTTCTGCTGGAGCAGACTTACTGGATGGAGACAGTGATCTCTGCCAAGGAGGGAGAGTTCTGTCTCTGTCTGGCTCTTCTACACTCTGGCTTTCAGAAAGGAGGGTTTGTACTTGAGTTTCTACTTCCCCAGGGAAAGACTGCCTTGTTGGCCCTTCAGAAAATCAAGAGCCCAGCATCTTCTTATCCCACTGGGAGAAAGATTTACTCTCAGTTCTACAAGATCTGTTTTCCCTAAACAGTCAATAATGCCCCAAAGACATAGCCAGAGTCTTAGAGTTAATTTTCCTGGACCAGTTAAATGGATAAAATGGGATACTTAGGAAATAAAGGCATAATTAATTTTAGAACACAAAACTCTAGGGCTAGAAGGGTCAAGACAAATAACTTTGATATCAGTGAGTATCAAGTTCTGATTTTTCAGAAATGTATTGATAAAAATATCTATTTTTTATCAGAAATATATATTTTTTAATCAAAAAAGTATTTTTCTCTTTCAGAAATGTATATTCCAACAATACAAGAGAAGACTCACACATGGACATAACCAGATGGTCAATACCAAAATCAGATTGATTATATTCCTTGCAGCCAAAGAAGGAGATATCTTCTGTCTATACAGTCAGCAAAAACAAGACAGGGAGCTGTCTGTAGTGCAGATCATGAACTCCTTATTGAAAAATTCAGACTTTTATTGAAGAAAGTAGGGAAAAACAAAGAACATTCAAGTGTGGCCTAAATCAAATCCCTTATGATTATGCAGTAGAAGTGACAAATAGATTCAAGGGATTAGATCTGATAGACAGAGTGCCTGAAGAACTATGGATGGAGGT